GGTGTGCTAGGCTGCAGCTGCCCCTGAGGGCGCAGGGCCGGGTGGCCGGGCCCGGAGGCACTGGCCTGGCAGGGGACTTAAAGGGCAAAGGGGGTCCAGCCTGGCGCGCGGGAACCGGGAGAGCCCAGAACGGGACCCACGGGAGACCCCCACCTGCGCGCGCAGAGTCAAAGAAGTTGGAGAAGATCCGCGGCTTCTGGGTGTCTGCGGGCGGTGGATGAGGGCGGCATTTTAGGGTCCCAGATCTCAGAGCCCCAAGTCTCGGTATGGAAGGCCCCCCTCCTGCAGAAGTCGGGAGGGACGCATCTCCCCTCCCTGGAAGGCGGGTGGGGGGGTCCCGGAAACTCTTTCAGAAGTTGTCAAGCAACCTTCCTTAGGCTGTGCCCAGGGGGTTCCCCGGGGACTGAGGGAGCCGTCGGGGAGGGGAGGTAAAATTGTTGGGGTTGGGAGGTGATCGGTTTTGTCCCCTCACCAGGGACCTTCTCCTTTAGACACTTGATTGGAAACATACTTCCAAAAAAGCGGGGTGCCTTGGTGGGGGGAGAGGGGCAAAGGCCTCGCCCTGGGGGCGGGGGAGGGTTGGCCCTGCTCGCCAATATGCCGAGCTGGCAGTTCGCCCCGAGTTTTAGGCCTGGCCTCCAACCGTTGACTCCATAACCCCAGATATTCTAGAGGAACCCAGAAAAAGAAGATAAAAAAACCAAAAACGTGTACAGTGAGGTTTTGGGGTTCGGAAAGGGTTAAGTTTAAGGTTGCAGATTGGGATGAGTTGAACTGGTCAGATGTGGGTTCTGAGCCGCGGAGAGCAAAGGACCCCCATTTTCTCACATGTCCTGGCCTCCTGCGGGTCCGCAGACCTTACTGAGATAGGCTTTGTTGCCCAGGTAGGGTTTCTCCTGCCTCCATCTCTCTAGGGGTGGGCAGGGCGGAGGGTACTGCCAGCCTGGACAGGCGGGAATTCTCAGGCTGCCCTGGTGTAGTTGAGGCAGGGGCTCCACATTGGGGCCCTGGGGGATTGGGGTCCCTGAGGATAACAGGGACAGCCACTGAGGACCCCTGCAGCCCTGTTCAGGACTAGCTGGCACGTGTACACAGGCTTTCTTCCATCTGCTATGGTGCATTCCAGGAGGAGTGCTGCCCGCAGATTGCTGTTATCTTTTGGGGGGCCTCCATGCCCCCCGCGGACCCCTTTGCAGAAAGCCCTGTCTCCCCATTTGCATCCAAGATGGACTCTCCGCGCCCCTCCTCCCGGCTTCCCTGTCATCATCCCTCACGCCCTGCAGCCCAGCCTCCTGCTCGTGGGTGGGTTGCCAAGCCGTGGCCTGGCCGGCGGTGGCGGAGTTAGACAAAGCCCCCGCGTCCCCGCTGGAGAGCCCCCCCGGGGGCGCCCCGAGAGGCGGGCAGGCCGCCAGCTCCCCAGGCCCTGGCCAGCCGGCTCTTTGTCTGGCGTGGGGGTGGGGAGCTCCGGCCCCAGGAGCTTCCTGGCCTCCTGCTCCTGCACACTGGCTCATTGTCTGATGCTCCTCCGCGGAGACGCCGCGCGCTGACGTGGAGTCTGCTTCTCCTGGTGGCCTCCCTCCGCCGACCCACTGGCCCTCCCTGTGTCTGCAGGAAGGAGTGGCCAGGAGTGGAACTCGGAGGCCCTTTTGCCAACTCTCTCCAGGGCCAGAGACACCCCCTCCAGCACTGAAGAAGGGACTGGCAGTGGCATAGGATCGGGGTCACCCACCATGCTACTGGGGTGACAAGACAGTCAAGCCCTGAGCTACTGCCCGACTCCCGCCTCCCCCCGCCCCCACCAAAATGGGGCAGTTTCTCACTCCACCTCCCTCTCCCCGTGGCCCCCAAGACCTGACCCCAGAGCCATCAAACAGAGCAGGGTCTAGAGACTTTAGACTTTCTACAGGGAACCATTGCCTCACACAGCTGGGAAACTGAGGCCCAGAGAGGGAAGGACCTTGTCTAAAGTCACACAGCCAGGAGCGGCCCTTGCCCATAGGAAGGAGGACATGGAAGGAGGAGGAGAGACAAGGAGGTGGGGTGGACAGGCCACATGGAGGTTCTGGATCTCTTCCTGCCTGCAGCTAGCATCTTCTAGAGGCCTTGAAGAGCTGGGCGACTCACCCTCCCCAGTCTAACGCTTAGTATCCTCACCTTCCTGAGCCCAGGGAGGGGCCATAACTTGTATAGGGCAGGATTGGAACTCAGGTGTGGGTTCAGGAAGTTGGGGCTTAGCTGATGTGGTGAGGGGGACCTGGAGGGGGGCACCAGCCCTGCCCCTGGCTGAGCTCTGGCCCCTGAACACCTGCCATTGTCTTGGAGTCCATCCCCATTGTGAGCAAGGTGTGTTGTCATCTCTGCTTTGTAGACAGGGAAACTGAGGCTCCAAGCTGCTGGATGACTGGCCCATTCACCAGCTTGAGGGTGGCACAGTCAGGATTCAAATCCATGTTTCTGGGCAGCCTCCAAGCTTCAGCATAAACCTGGGCCTGAGCGGGGACAGCTGGGCAGGCCTGGGGCCTGAGAGGGTGTTTTGGGTACAGAGCTGCTCCAGACTCCTGGACAGTGGGGCTGGCATCAGTGGAGCTTCTGTGTTGGGTGGCCAGGGCAGCCCCTGCCCCAGGTCTGTGTCTCCCTCTGCAGTGAGGGGCCCTGAGCCAGGGTTCCCCCAGGCCCCTTCCCGCTCCCTCTGCCTGAGCTCCTGAACTTACTTCCGCCCGGCCCCTCCCCTTGCCCACCACAGTCGAGCAGCTGGTCGCTTTGGCTGGCCTTGGCACCAGCTGTCCGTCCCGGGGCCAGATCTGCGAGGCTGCTGTGTGTGTGAGAGGGACCGTTTGGCTCTGGGGGCGGCAACGGAGGGGAGCTGCTCCCCGTGGGGCGTGGAGTCAGGCAGGCGGGCGGCTGCCGAGGAGGACTAGGTAAATTCTCCATGGTTACCGCTGTTTGTAATTCTGCAGGACAGCTTTCACCCGCTAATGGCCACTTGGACGCCATCATGGGTCTGGATGCTTTCAGCCATGTAGCCAAAGCCGGGAAAGCCCCCTAGGAGAATCCCCAGTCCAGAAGACCCTAGGACCCTACTTAGTCCCTGATGGCTGGCCCAGGGCAGGGTCTCAGAATGCTGCCTTCCGAAAGTGGGGCCCCGTTTTGGGGTACAGAGGGGCATACAGACTGTCAGGAGGCCTGTCTCTCCTCTTTGGGGGACAGAGAGGGACATAAGCTCAGAGAGGTTAGGGGGCTTTTCTGAGGTCACACGGAGAGCCCAGGGGGGTAGTGTACCAGAGGTCTCCAGCCTGGGGGTTCTTATCTTCCAGGCCTTCTTGCCCTATAAATCTCCCCAGCGGTGACACACGGGAGCAAAGACTTCCCTGTATTAGAAACCTAAGCCCGGGTGTGGACCAGCCTCAGTAGCAGGTGGCCTCATGGCAGTGATGTGGCTCTAGGGTATCAACCTACGGGGAGCAGGACCCAGGAAAGGGGACTGGCCAGGATTCAGCCTGGAGTAGCCGTTGGTTTCATCTTGGGTGCCAAGCCCGACTGCTGGACAGAGGCCGCGGGGTGGGAAGGAGCAGTTCTGTGATTGACTAGTGATGCCTGCTGTGGTGGTGGGGATGCAGACAGGGGGCCTTCGGTGACATTTTTACTGTTGATTGTCTAGGCTAAGTGTCAGGGCCATGACCAGTCAAACTACAGGTGAAGAGTTTGGAGCTCTGTTCTGTGAAGACAGAAAGCCGCTGTTGGTGGTGTGGGTTGTGGGCGGGGGACCTGTCGTGGTACCCGAAGCCCTCATCTTGGGTACGACTGGCCATGGCCATGGGATTCCTGACACCTTCTCTTCTCTCCTACCCCACAGCTGGGGGTGTCCACTCTCCTTCCACCAGTATGGCGACGTCCTCCCAGTACCGCCAGCTGCTGAGCGACTACGGGCCGCCGTCCCTCGGATACACCCAGGTATGGCAGTGGGGTGATGACATGGATGGAGGGTTTGTGGGGGCTGTCCTGGACACCGAGAAAAACCAGAGAGGTGCTCCTGACTGTCAGGGGAGCAGAGACGGTGAATGAGACAAAGGAAGAACAATGACGGGGTAGAACAGTCATCTGAGCTTCCTCAGCCTGAGACCTGGGCTTGGTTTGTGGTCATTTCACAAGGTGTAAAACTGGAGGGGTGACCAGGGCTTTGTGTCACACTGGGACACATCGAGGCGGGAGGGGAAGGGGAGCACAAGGACAGGCCAGAGCCCCGAGGCCTCACACCCTGTGAGCATCCCAGGGTGGGCCTCCTCGCTTGTTTCCCCAGAAGGAAGGCCTGTGGAGACCTGGACTCTGGGTCTCCAAGCTTCACTCCCACTTCCTGTCCTGGTGAAGCCAAGGACGGACCCCAGATCTCAGGGCTTTCCACCCTCACAGGAATTAAACTGTGTTTCATCAAGAGCTGGTAGTTACGAGCGGGACCCTGGGGCGAGCCTGGTTGGATTTCAGCCCTGGCTCCACCTCCTAGTGGACGGTGACCACCTCTTAGAGGCTGGAGACTCGGTTTCCTCACCCGTCAAGTGGGGCTAATGTTAGTTACGACCTCGATGGGGCGAGCTGCTACTTCAGCTGCGTTCTGAATTTACGGGGGAGTGCTGCTCCTGGGGCTGGAGTTGGCGAGTCCTGGCCTTGCGTGCTGGAACATTCCGAGGACGCCGCGGAGATTGTTTCTTGGAATGGGGTGGCTGGGGCTCCCGCCCAGGGCTCGGCCCGGTGGCAATGCCGCGTCAGGCCGTCCTGCCCCGGGAGGAGAAGCTAGCGCGGGGGGAGCGGGGCCGCCTGAAGATGCGGCTGTGGTGGGGGGACGTCCTGGAGTGGCAGCGCAGCGCCCTGGCCATGAGGCGGAGGCGGCGTGAGGACATGTGGGAAAAGGAGAGGAAGAGGGACCCAGAGGCCCAGAGGAGGCACTGGGGGCAGGCCGAGGAGCTAGAGGAGCAGCGGAGAAGGGGCCCAGAGGCCCAGAGGAGGCACTGGGGGCAGGCCGAGGAGCTAGAGGAGCAGCGGAGAAGGGGCCCAGAGGCCCAGAGGAGGCACTGGGGGCAGGCCGAGGAGCTGGAGGAGCAGCGGAGAAGGGGCCCAGAGGCCCAGAGGAGGCACTGGGGGCAGGCCGAGGAGCTGGAGGAGCAGCGGAGAAGGGGCCCAGAGGCCCAGAGACGGAGGTGGCAGGAGAGGAGGGAGACGCAGGCGAGGGCCTTGCGGAGGGAGATGACCACCCTGGTGCAGCTGTGGGAAAAGAAGGATGCTGAGAACAAGGAGGGACCCGAGCTGGCGGCCTCGGCCCCCTGGCCTGCAGGGAGCCCTACCACCCTGCTCTGGGTGCTTGCCTCGGGGGCTGGGGGGTGGCCTGGATACATGGGGTGGCCCTGCCAGTGGGAGGATGGGGTGAATTAAAGCACAGAGCAGGCTCCATCTGGAGGTCTTGGGTGACCTTTGCAGCCCCAGTGACCCCAGGTCTGGCCTCTGTCTCGTTCAGCCTTGCCACTCTCCCCGGATACTCAGCCCCCCATCCATCTGGGTTCTAGAGGTTTCTCTGCCAGTCCTTCCTGCTCTTGTCGCTTGAGATGGTAGAAGAGCCTTCCGGAGACTGCTGGGTGGTTTCCTTGGAACCAGGCTCCCTAACCTGTGCTGTTGTGGGAGCTGGAAGGCCGGGAGGGGACGTGCCTCGCCCAAGCTGAGGCAGCAGCTCGGGGGTCCTTGGCCAGGCTGCCTCCACTCCTCACAGCGGCCCTCGCTCATATCACCGCCCTTGTCCTCCACTCCAAGGCCTGTTCTACCCTTGCTGCTGCCTGTCGGCAAAGGTCAAGAGCAGGTGGCTGCAGTCCTGACCACAGTGGTGGGGTCACATGCGGGTTCACATTCATCTAAACCCATCTCCTGCTTTCAGGGAACTGGGAACAGTCAGGTGCCCCAGAGCAAATATGCTGAGCTACTGGCCATCATTGAAGAGCTGGGGAAAGAGATCAGACCCACCTACGCAGGAAGCAAGAGCGCAATGGAGAGGCTGAAGCGAGGTGAGCCTGGGCGCGGGACGTGGGTGCTGCCCAGCAGCAAGGCTGACCGAGTCCTGGCCGAGAACTTCTCTGACATTGGAGGGTAGGGTGGGGAAGAGACCCCGACCCACTGGGGCTCGTGTGTCGTTGCCGACTTCCTGTCTGATGAGGAGGTATCAGGCGGGGCAGTTGGGGTCCCTGGGGCAGGCATTGCTCCTTGGGGTCTAGTGGCGAGGGGCGCTTCGCTTCAGATGGGGGTTTTTGAGAGAGGAAGCCCCAGCTGGTGAGTCTTCCAGGCCTCAGGGGGCATGCCCAGACCCTGCAGCTTTGCCTCCTGGCCTCTCCGCTCCCATTGGCCGCCCCGTCCTGGGGGCAGCAGGAAGCACATACAGGAGCCTCCTGCCTCTGGGTGCGGCCAGGCCCACAGAGCACAGTGCCGGGGTTGATCTGCGTCTGGAACTGCCCTCTGCTGCCAGCTCTGTGGCGTGTCTGTCCTGGGCTCTGGACGGGAGCATGAGAGCACTTGTGAGTTCTTTTGTGATGGCAGAGGGAGGGATGCTGGTGTCAGTGACAGAAGTGCTTCCCGTGAGGTGGGACTGGCTGGCTGACTTCCGGGGAAGTGATGGGCTGCTGCTGCCTTCTGTAGATGGGGCGGCAGGGGAGAACGAGATTCGATTTCAGAAGGTGGTGGCACAGAGGCGCCTTGGCCAATGCTCTGATTGAATTTCCGGAGGGTTTAGGGGTTCTTCCAAAGCGGAGAGAAGCCACTTTGGAGAAAGATGAGGGAAACATCCTTTGGTTATAAACCTGTGGTGGAAAGGGGGACTGCCGCTGAGGTCCTGACCCCCTAGCTGAGGACAGCCTCCTTGGCTAGCGTTTTGGTAACCTTTGTGAAGAGGGGAGCTGATGGCAGAGCTAGTGGGGGGAATACCAGGGACACGCATGGGGCTCGGGGAACCTGGCCAAGGTAGAGGGTGTTACCAAAGAGGACTTGGGGAGAGATCTGGAGACTGACCCCAGCTAACCCGGAGTTGGGTGGGCATCACTCTGCTGTTTCAAAGGCAAAGGAAGAAAGAGCTTTCTGATAACAAGTGCTGATTATCCTCGGAAGACGCTGACCCCAGGGTCTGACAGGCAATCTGCAGTCACCTCGAAAATGCCCATGGTTCCCACTAACACATGGGTATACTGAGTTCCCATCCCAGACAGGTCCTGGGCGAGCTGTTGGTCTCACAGTAACGAGTAAGACCTAGCGCCACCCTCAGCCAACAGTCCAGCCCAAGCTAGCCAGTTTTATGTTACGGCAGGGTGAGAAGGGGTGGGTGAGGGGACGGGAGCCAGAAACGTTGCCAACAGGTTAGTAACTTCCGGCCCGTGAGCCTAGAGTGGTTTTTGCATTTTTTAATGGTTGAAAAAATAAAAAAGAAGAATCCTATTTTGTGACGTGAAAATTACGTGAAATTCAAGCTTCCGCATCCATAAATGAAGCTTTATGGGAACGTGGCCGTATCCATTGCTTGTGTATCGTCTCTGACTGCTTTTGTGATACACCTGCAGAGTTGAGTAACGGGGACAGAAACTATGGCCGGCAAAGCCAAAAACAGGTGCTGTCCGGCAGAAAAAGTTTGCTGACCCCTGAGATAGGTTGTAAGATTTGTGAAGTGAGGTGTGCCTGGGTTGGGGGTTCATTCATAATTTTCTCTGGGAGTCATATCTTAGAAGGAATAGAATTCCTGGTGTCTGTTAAAATCTAATTCATGAAGTTCAGTAGAGGCAAAAGGAAAAAAGGTAACCACCACATCATAGAGAACCAAACCAAACCGTTGAGTTGATTCCGATACATAGCGACCCTATAGGACAGAGTAGAAGTGTCCCACAGGGTTTCCAAGGAGCAGCTGGTGGATTCAAACTGCCGACTTTTGGTTAGCAGCCGTGCTCTGAACCACTACGCGACCAGGGCTCCATAGAGATCAAAGATGGAAGGAATTGATAGGGCAGAAGATGGCGGAAGGACTCTGGGAGGGAGGGATGTCACGGTGGGCCGAGCATTGAACACGAATGAGTGCTACTTGTCTTGCACCCTGAGATGTGTAGGCTGGAAGTATTCTTTTGCCATACTTGACACTAGTCAAGCCCTTTCTAGAATTCAGAATATGAAGAAGCCAGAGAAAAATAACAGTGATTTGAAAGGAGTGGGGCAAGCCTAAAGGACTTGAGTGGGGACACATTTATTCCCATCAGCAACTAGAACGTCATAAAGGAGAGCTCGTTGCTGTCCCCTTGAGTGCAAGAAGACGTGTAGGGGGACGTGAAGAAGAATTTGGGTTAGGAGGAGAAGGCTTTGGTAGGTGGGATGGGATTTGCTAGAACCCTTTAAAACCACTTGCATGTTTGAGCTGTCTGCAAGTCCCAAGTTCCCTTCTAGTGTGAGGGTTTTATGGCTGGATTGTCAAGGGATTCTCTTCTGGGTTCTACTGTGGCTTCTGTGAATTGGATGATTCCTGGCCTCTGCTTCCTTTCCAGGCATCATTCACGCCAGAGGACTGGTCCGGGAGTGCTTGGCTGAGACGGAGCGGAACGCCAGATCCTAGCCACCTTGTTAGCTTTGAAGGTTTTCCATCTTTTTTTTCCAAGATGAGAAGTTACAGCTCATCTCCCGTTTTCTTTGTTTTCAAAGTGGTAATTCCTTTTTTTTTCCTCCCCTTTTCCCTTCCGTGGTTCACTTGGCTGTGAACCTGCAGTCTCTAAGGTTGAGAAGAGATTTGGCAGTTGATTAGGATTTGCATTTTCAGTAGTTAGGAATGACCCAGTGTTTTTGGTTGGTTTTTGTTTTCCTGTTTTTTTAAGCATCAATTTAAAAACTACACGGAAAGTTACCTATCTTCTGCCTCCAAGATCCCAGGACCTCACCTTGCTCTTCTGTTTTGAATACATTTGTTACCCCAGTTGTTCTGCGTCCCTTTTCATAAGCTCATACAACTTTGAGGATTGGTTTTTAATGAATACTGACAACACGCTTTTGTAGGAGCTGCTCCCAGCGCGCCATCCAGCGTAGATCCTGCTTCACTTAACTTTTTTGCTTAAGCATTTGCATGACTTTTAGTGCTTTGAAGTCAGTTTAAAAAATGCACAAGTTCTAAATACAGAAGAAAGAGCAACTGACCAAACCTAACAAGGGCCCCCGAGAAACTTCATATTAAGACTGTGTGTAGATTTCAGTTTTGTAAGTTGATCACAACATTGGGAAAAAAAAAGGACTCTGAAACTGTTTGCATCTTTGTATGTATTTATTACTTGATGTAATAAAGCTTATTTTCATTAACAGTTTGTATGGAAATGTGGGTTCCTTGAATTTAAATTCAAAGTCAGTGAGGTGTGTGGGAATACACATCGAAGGGGATTTTCCCACCTGGCCCAGAAACATTTTGCATGATGATGTCAGCATAGTTGGCTTAGGTCAGAAGGTGAGGATGAAGTGAAGAGGCATTTTCGGTATGATCTGAGTGTCTATTTGGAAAATCACAGAAGTGGCGTTATTGACTCTGCCCACTGCGCTGCTCAGTTAGGCCATTCTCAGGTTTTGTTGTTGTTAGGTGCCGTCGAGTCGATTCCGACTCATAGCCACCCTATAGGACAGAGTAGAACCGCCCTGTAGGGTTTCCAAGGAGCGGCTGGTGGATTTGAACTGCTGACCCTTTGGTAAGCAGCCAAGCTCTTAACCACTAAGCCACCAGGGCTCAGTTCTTAGGTGCTTCTTACCCTGTGAGTAGGTCCTAGGTGCTATAGGAATCTTCATATAATGTGGCCACTGAACTTAAGCCAGCTACACTATCTGGTGCTCAGCTGAAGAATTTTCTGCTCTCAGGCTGAGGAGAAATGGGTTGTGTTGTATGTGTTGAGAATACATATGGTGGTCTCTGACGGTGCCTTCCAAAGGGATTTTGAGGTAATTTCCATACATACACCTTAGGCCGTGACTCAGGTAGTGAGGGGTTGTGTGGATGGAGAGGCAGACTCAGATAGCTGAGGGATATGATCAGTGTTCCAGGCATGAGGCAAGGTCCCAGCCACGACAAGTGTGAAGGCTGATAGGAATGGGTCCTGGGGGGTGGGTTTCGTTGCATCTCCTCCATGGAAATGGCAGAAAATTCAAAAGGTACAAGAGAGGAGGAAGCAGGGACTCAGAGAGATACTAGTACACCAGTGTTCACTGAAGCAGTATTTATGTACAATAGCCAAAGGTGGAAACAACCTGCGTGTCCGTCAACAGGTGACGGATAAACTGGTCTGACAGTGTGATGGATTATTACTCAGCCATGTGGAGAAATGAAGTTGTGATATATGCCGTGACATGGATGAACCTGGAAAACATCACGCTGAGTGGAAGAAGTCAGACACCAAAGGACCAGTCTTGTACGATCCTAGTATATGAACCATCCAGACTGGTTAACGGTTACCGTGGGCTGGGGGGACGGGGAAAAGAGGAGTTATTGCTTAAGGGGTACTGAGTTTTTGTCTGGAGTGATGAAAGTTTTGAAAATGGATAGTGCTGATGGCTGCACAACATTGTGAATGTAGCTGATGTTGCTGAATTGTGCACTTAAAACTGGCTGAAATGGCAAATCTTATAATATTTTAAAAAGTTACAAGAGGAGACAGTGATGTTGAAGCCTATTTCTCCTCAAATCTCCCTTCCCACTACTAGCAGTTTCTGGGTACCGTTCAGAGATACCTTATATGGCCGTCTTCTGCATGAAGGCCGGGGTGGGGAAGGGTCTTGAACCCCCGACAGGAGGTGTTGAAGCCCTGACCTGCATAGAACGCTTAAGCTCCTAAACCAGGCCACTCTCAGCTGAGGAGAGCCGCAACAGGCAGCCTCCAAGATCAGTGTGTTGGGAGGTAGGTACTGCGCATATGTTCTGAGCCTGGACTTCTTGCAGAAAAGAGGCAGCCCTGTGCCAGGGGCCTTCTCACCTCACAGTGGTCTCCCTCCTTGTTTCAGGCGTGAACTCCAGAAGTCTTCTAACAAGCCAGACCATTAACCATGCCCCCCCCGCAAAAAAAAAAAAAAACTGTATGGTATTTTTACTGTTATTGATTGGTCAGCTCAGCTGAGTTATGGTAGCAAGCAAACCTACAAACAGATCAGTTTTCTGGGACCCCATCTCTTATATATCTATTTGCAGATCAACATCCAGGGAATGATGTATGTATTTCTACATTGGGGAGGTTATTTGGCAACATATAGTCTATTAGCTAATGGAGTAAATGGGCAAGTAACTTACTCACTTTTCAATTTTTCACTTGTTTTCTCATTCTCTGGACATTAAGGTAGCCGACGTCTGAGAATCGCTGAGCAGTGGCTTCCCGGCAGATGACAAGGTGCCACTAAACGCTATTGTTTCACTCAATTCTACAGTTCTCACAAAAATGTACCCGAGGTGTTTTTTCCAAAAAAATATTTTTATTTGTAGCTTTTTATAATAAAACAAGGAGCCCTGGTGGTATAAGCACTTGACCCCTAACTGAAAGGTTGGCGGTTCAAACTCACCCAGAGGCTCCGCAGGAGAAAGACCTGGTGATCTGCTCCTGTCAAGACTGTTGCTTGTTAGATGCCCTCGAGTCAGTTCTGCCTCAGCAACCGCACGTACAACAGAACGAAACGCTGCCCCGTCCTGCGCCATCCTCACAGTCGTTGCTGTGCTCGAGCCCATTGTTGGAGCCACTGTGTCAGTCCATCTCCTGGACAGTCTTTGTCTGTTTTTCACTGAACTTTACCAAGCATGATGTCCTTCTCCAGGGACTGGTCCCTCCTGATAACATGGCAAAGTATGTAAGACGCAGTTCTTGCCATCCTTGCTTCTAAGGAGCGTTCTGGCTGTACTTCTTCCAAGACTAAGATAATAGCCTAGGAAACCCCACGGGGCAGTTCCACTCTTATCACGTGGGGTCGCTTTCACAACAGCAACAACGTAATAAAAGAGAGACATTCACGCAAATACACGTACACCTTAAAGAGCATTATAAGGCGAACACCTTTCTGACCACCTCCTAGGTTGAAACAGAACGTTGTCGGCTACCCCAGAAGCCCCTCCATGTGCCGAATTCCAGTGTCACCTCCTCCCTCCACCTGAAGTGACAGTAATCACTTCCTTGTGCTTATAGCTTTATTCCCAAAGTGAGCACCTCTATTCACCAGTTGAGCCTCTTCCACCTTTTCGAAAAATAGGTCTTTTAAGTCTGTCATTTTTCCGTAAAAGCTCTACCGTAACACTGGTGATGGAGCTCCCACCGTTATCCCCTGAGAGCCTCCTGGCGGACTCTTTCTGTCTGAATCTGCAGTTCCTTCTCAGCGGGCATTTTTACTCAATCCCCACAGTTCTTTCAGGAGCTTCTTTTTCTCTAGGGTTTCCTTTGCTCTTTTTTTCCTTTCTTGCTTTTTCTTCTCTGCCTCTCGTTTTTCTCTGTAAACAAGACTGTTTTCACCATTGTAGAAAACATCCACTTTTTCTTGTAGGATCTTCCGAGCTAGTTTTCGGTTTTGATCAACTGATCTTGTCTGATGACACTGTAAGAGAGGATGTTTTATAAAGTGAAAACCACAGGTGTCGGGAGGTGGAAGAAACCCTCCTTATAATCAAACTTTTTGCTTCAATCAAAGCCCCTTGTTGAGGGTCCCACAGAGTCAGTGACAGAACCAAGACCAGGCCCTTCCCTGCCTCAGCTCCACTGCCTTTGCCTTGTTCTGTCCCCCCAGCTGTGTTACGTGGCTTTTGCTGATTGTTTTATAAACAGAAGTGTTACCTTTGTTTAGAAGCAAGAATCCAAAAACCAGAAAGCCAAATGGTTACCATGGAGTTGTTTCTGACTCCTAGTGACCCAATGTGTTACAGAGTAGAACTGATCTATAGGGTTTTCTTGGCTGTAATCTTTACAGAAGCAGACTGCCAAGTCTTTCTTCCGTGGTGCCACTGGGTGGGTTTGAACCGCCAATCCTGACGTTTAGTAGTTGAGTGCAAACCGTTTGCACCACCCAGGGACCTTAGAAGCGATGACGGACTTCAAATAATTTAAAATCCCCAGATAGTTCTGAAAACATCAACTGATGTATGTAGTTTGCAGCTTCCTCGTGCACCATTCAGAAACAAGTTCCGGCTAAGAGAAGAAAATAGCTCATGAACGAACCGTAATATTCATCATGCAACACCCTGATTATGGGCGAGTGCCTTGCAAAATTAAGAGAAACTGATGAAAGATTTCTCTTGCTATAAGAAATTCCGTGCAATGAGGGTAAGAGAATAGTACTAAAAGCAAATTTGCAGTAAATTATATAAAATGGATAAGTTAAAATTAACCATGTCAAGTTTCAAAATTGTATTTGTTGCGTGTGAATGAGAATTGTTTTTTACCCCCTACAGAGGATAGGAAAGTGATTCAGGTTTTAATTGATACGCTCTTGGCTCAAAAACCTGGCACTAAAAGAGAAAAAAAAAAAAAAAAAAGAAAGAAAAACCTGGCAGTAAAATACAGCTGTTAAGAACATGGACTTTGTGTTTGGTCTAGGTTGAAACCTGTAGCTGTGTGACCTTGGACAAGTTGCTTGACCTTTCTGTGCCTCAGATTCTGCATCTGTACCATGGGGATGGGAATGGATAACGGGGTTATGAGGACTAAGAGAGTTAATGCAAACTTGCTTGGAATAGTTTCCATGATGTGTATTTACTATCAGGATCACTGTTGTTGGGTGCTGGCGAGTCGACTTTGACTCATAGTGACCCCATATGACAGAGCAGAACTGATCCATAGGGTTTTCTAGGCTGTGATCTTTATGGATGCAGATCGCCAGGTCTTTTCTCCAGTGGAGCCACTGGGTGGGTTTGAACCACCAACCTTTTGCTTAGCAGCTGAGCGCGTAACCATTGTGCCACCAGGGCTCCTTATTGGTGTCACCCGTATACCAACAGCCTTTCTTTTCCTGACTGTCCCTCAGGGAGCAGGGCTGTTTTTAGGCCCCTCTGGCAATACCTGTGCGGCAGAATGGGATGGCAGTTCACTGGCTGGGCTTGTCTCTGCACCAGCGGGGCCACTACTGCTCGAACCAGGGAACAGGTAGAAGAAAGCCGTTTCCTACAAGTTCAGAGTCGGTTAGAAGCTAGTGCTATCCGGATCAGAGATTTGTTTTTTATATAAAAAAAGAAGGCTGCTCCAGGCAGCTGCGCGTAGCGTTTGCCTCCAGTCGGGTAGGTATCATTGGCATTTATCGAAGCGGGGACAGAAGGACAAGGAGGATGTGACTATCCTCAAGCCAATCAGCTGGCCAGTGGGGCTGAGACCGCTAGTGGGCAGTGCCTCAGTGCTCCTTGCAGCTGTCCTTTGGCCGGTGGGGCCTGGAGCGGCTTTGCAGCTGCTGGGTGCCTGCCTTTATCACCCACTGCAGAGCTTTGTCAGATGCTGCTTCCTGGGCAGCAGCCAGACAGCAGTGCTGGCTGCTGAATCTAAGGATGGCAGCAGGACTCTGGCTCCGTGGTGGGTGAGGCTTGTTAGGAGGTTGTGCCTTAGGGCCCACAGGCCTCCGGTAAAGGCTGGAGGAAGGGTCAGGGCCTGGGATGAGCTCTACGGTGCCCTCTACTGCCTGGGCCAGGCTGGCAGAGGGTGGCCCCTGCTAGAAAGAGCAGACGGGTCAGCCGGCCACCGCCCCTCACGCGGGAGAAATTCACCCTGCTGTGGGCGGTGTTGTTAGTTATCATCAAGTTGATTTTCCACTCAGAGTGACCCCATGTGACAGAACTGCCCCATAGGGTTTCCTAGACTGTAATCTTCATGGAAGCAGATTGCCAGGCCTTCTTCCTGTGGAGCTACTGGATGGGTTCGAGCAGCCCACCTTTCGGTTAGCAGCCAGTGCTTAACTGCTGTGCCACCAGGGCTCCTTTCTAAGCTTTACACATGTTACCGATTTAATCCTCACAAGGCTTCTATGAAGCAGGTACCATTATCCCATTTTGCGGCAGGGAAAACTAAAGCCCAGAGAGGTTGAGTAACTTGTCCAGGGTCACACAGGGACCCCCCCCCAGCAGTCTTCCTCCCCTACCTTTACAACGATGCCCGAGGGGATGTGCTTCAGCACCACGCAGTTGCTTGTTTTGTTGGTTGCTTGGCCCCCTGGACCGTGTCCTTTCACAAACTGCTCTTCAAGTTGACTCTCGTCCAGGGCAAGCAGAGCAGGGCAGTCCTTCTTGCCTGCCATCTGGACCCGAGTGACAGCTATCTCTCGGGACAGCAGCGTCAGCGTCTCCCACAGCCCGAGGCCCGGCCGCACTGTGCGTGTTCTGGTCAGTGACACGGGGAAACGAAATAAAGCCGAGGCACCCATTGAGAGGTGGGTCTGTGTTCAGGACCTGAGTTAGAAGAGCAGACGGACACTACTTCAGTCAGATGCGTTTGCTCTCAAGATGACACTGCAGGTTCTGAGACAGGCTTTTTTATAAAACGATTCAAAAGATGGCCCAGCTATTACCTAGGGGATTCAGTATATGAGCGCAGACAGATCATCCAGCAAGACATGCCTCTCTCCAGCCTTGCACTGTCTAACTGGGTTCTTATAAATATTTTCTTATACCAAAAAAACCCAAACCTGTTCCTGTCGAGTCAATTCTGACTCATGGCAACCCTACAGGACAGAGAAGAACTGCCCCATAGGGTTTCCAAGGCTGTAATCTTTATAGAAGGCACCCTGGTGGCACAGTGGTTAATGTGCTTGGCTGCTAACTGAAGGGCTGGCGGTTTGAACCCGCCAGCAGCTCTGCAGGAGAAAGATGTGGCAGTCGGCTTCCATAAAGATTACAGCCTTGGAAACCCTACGGGGCATTCTACTCTGTCTTACGGGGTCGCTATGAGTCAGAATCAACTCAACAGCGACGGGTTTGGTTTTGGTTTCGTAATCTTTATGGAAGCAGATGTCTTCTCAGGAAGGGGAGGTTTTGAGTGCGAAATTCAAATGAACAGGGCTGCAGTTTGATAAAGAAATATTTAAGAGTACATCAAGCAAGAATTAGGAGCTGGGTCAAGTGACGCTACTTAAATGTTTGAGAATCTTTGAAATCAAAACGTAAAGACCACAGTATGTAACAGTCTTTCTTACAGCTGCGCTTCAACAGCCTGGGATAGTCAATCTCGCTATCAATCAATGTCATGATTGTTGTTTTTTAATGTCTCCAGTTTTGTGGATTTGAATAGGAACATCTTTTCCTTCGGACACACCGCCAATATGGGATCAAACTGGTTAGACGGTTAGAACAGCCTCTTAGCAATCAAATCAACTGATTTTTGTATTAAATGGTTCAAAATACCAGACAAGGTGCAGGGAGGGTTAGGAGATGAAAAAGGGTTACACTCTGCCTTCTTGGAGCTTACAGTCTAGCTGGAGAGAGGGGAGATTCCGAAAGCGTTATTTAATAGCAAGACTGAAGTAAGTACCTGGGACGGCATAAGGCTAAAACATCAGCTGGCAGATGCACAGTACAGAGAAGGGCAGCTGTGAGGATATGGTGATGCCCACAGGCCTTTGCTTTTCTCTAGGAAACAGCAAAAGGCCCTAAAGCTGTTAGTTGTTTTAAGAGATCTATGTTCTCCCCATGTGATGAGGGGCAAGTCACAACTTGGCCTGTTTTCTCACCTGTAAAATGGGTGAATACGCCCTTCTCCTCCCACCCCACCCAGGCTCGTTGTAAAGGTCAGAGAAAAAAAGTATTCAGGAAGGGGCTTGGTTGGTACCCTCCAGGGCATGAGATTGATTTTGAGCCAAATCTTGGTCCGCCAGGTGGATTGGGGGGACTACAAATGTGCCCGTGGCCTCAGGCTCCGTGACTGAGGATTGTGCCGGCACTGAGAGCAGACACACTGCCCTTTTCTTTTCGTCACCTGCTTCTGCTGAAGATCTAAACAGCTTCTTCTACCATCCGAAACTTTGTCGACTCTAGCTTGTGGCAACTGGTCTTTGACATAGGTAGGAAGTGGGGTCTACCAGAATTAACTTCTAGGATAACATCCACCGAATCATTCCACCATGCCTGCTCTCAGCTGTCACCTTTCCCCAATGTCAGCTTTGACGGCCAACACCTCCTGAGCCGATACCATGTCCGAGGCCCTGAAGAGCAGACTGACTGGAGACACAGGATATTCGGCATTGCTTCCTTGCCAATATGTGCATTTTCTGGTACTTTAAGATTCTATCCTGGTAATCAGTACAGCTGATAATGGGATGATTCTGGTCATCTTTAGTATGACAATATAATATTCTCCATCTCTATTTCTATGGGAAATAAAGACAATGAAATATACTTTCCAAGCCTGATGCCAATGCTAGTTTTCCATTGCATGGCTGACATGATGGTCTAAACCATCTCTTCTTTTTGAAAAATATGACGTTCAATATGCTGTCAGTCCCAGTGGGTGACAGTGAAGGTGGCGTTGGTAAGCACCCCGTGACGGAGAAGGAACAGATTTTGAAATGGAGTGTGAAAATGTCTGCTGCTTTAAAAATTGGTTTTGTTTAATATGTGCGAAAAATTTGTAGAAGTCTCGAGAGGATAAACATGAGCACTTTGTCTTCACTCTCTACAACAAAGAATCAACTCCTCTGTAAATGACTAAGTGGGTGAGACCAAGTCACTGTCCAAAACTTCCCCTCCTCATTTCTGCTTTCAAGCCACCGAACACCATTCCTTTGTGTACCAGACGGCTCCCATTCCCTGGAAAGGATTCATTATAGAGCACAAGCCCAGAGCCTCTCCTGGGGTTTCTCTTCCGCCACTTAGCAAATCTGACCAGGCAGGACAGCACCGGTAGACAGTGCAGGGACAAAGAAACAGAGCAAGTCTGAGGCAAGGCGAAACTCCCAGACAAAGGATGGCGAGGAGAGTGCTTTTATCAGCTGCTTTGTCACCAGCCCACTGTGCTTCAAATCTGTACCTTTCTGTCCTAGTTCGGAGCTGACAAATACGCTGGAACGTCTCCCACCCAACTGGAGTTCTAGAAGGTCCCCGGTGCTCAGTGGCCGGCTGCTTTGTCTAACAGCTAATTCCAACAGCCAATCAGACGATTCTAGACACTTCTAGTATCTCCTGGAGTGCTGGCCCGACTCCAATGACTGCTAAAAATGACAAACACACCCATGGTTCCACTTCCCCAAAGCCCAAAGAAGAATACTGATTGGATTTCAGTTTTTGTGATACCCACAGAGCAACCCAATGTCTTTGGGGAACAATAAAGCAGCTCAAATTATAGCTCACCGTGACATTAAAAAAGAGAAAAAGGAAAATAGTAAAAAGAAGTGCTAGTAAGGGGAAACCATTTGTCATGTTGGCGTTGCCCTAATTCCTTTCTGGGAGTGTGGGCTCTAAGCTAGGGCTGGCGCTCTACCCCGACGTCCCCTCAGCTCCGCTTGTCCTTTGATGACAGCTTCCTTCCGCACCAAATAGCTGACTGCAGTTTAGGTTAAAGCCACTCTCATTGTCTGAGACCCTTCTGATTTGGTCAAATTTGAGATAATAAGTCTGAGGCCTTTACAAAAGGCAATGTTAATTTGTTCAACAGATATTTTAAACATCTACTGTGCGCCAGGAACTGGCCTCAAGGAGCCCAAGGAGCCTGCAGCATAAAAGAGAAATTAAGATGTCCATACAGTAAATATGATACATGCCGTAAGCCCCAAAAGAATAACAGGCTAGAGAGCAACTTTGTTATTAGCTGCTGTCCAGAGGATTCTGACTCATGGCGACCCCATGTGTGCAGAATAGAACGGCTCCATAGAGTTGTCAAGGTTGTGACCTTTTGGAAGCAGACCTCCAGGCCTGTCTTCCAGGGTGCCTCTGGGTAGGCTTGAGCCACCAACCTTTCGGCTAGTAGTCGAGCGCTTAACGTTTTGGGCCAACAAGCCCCCAAATCGCCTGGAGTACGTCTTGCCAGGACTTGGAAGCTGCATTCTATTAAGTGCCTCTCCTTGCTACCTGGATCCCACCAGCAGGCACCCCCTCCTCTAGCTTCTGTAGACAACTCAAAGCAAGAAAGATGTTCAGCTGCGGGATGGCGTGTCCAGCTCTGCAACACGGCCCGTGACCGAAGCAAAGTGAATCACAGGTTTAAACCTGATGTTGCCAGGCCTGTTGCATCTGCCGCTGTAATGCTCTAGAGAGAGGGAAGAGGGTGGACATGCCTTTCCCTTGATGGCTCTGCAAGGGATAAAGGGTATTTCTGAATCTGTTTTCAGGAAAGCAGAAGCTTTCATTCTCTGGATCTGCTTCTAGATGCCATTTGTCTAAAAATCGCTGTTTAAGGATTTTGTAGAAAGGTAGAGTACTAGTTTACCTTGACTATGACTTTAATCTGTATCTCCCTTGTAGAAACTTCATAAAAGCTAACCAAAGGAACAGATGTGAAAGGAAAGATGACTGTTAAACATCTCAGCAGCCCGTCTCACACTCAAACCTCAGCATGCACACAAGTCACCTGGGGATTTTGTCAAACAGCAGCTCAGAAGTGCTGGGTGGGGTCAGAGATTCTGCATTTCCAGCCAGTCCCCAGGAGAGGCTCTGGCTGCTCGTCCATGGGCCACACTCTGAGTGGCACAGCTCAGGGCTCTGAGCAAGGGTGATGCCGATCTCCTGGGATTTGGGACTGTCTGGCTGGCTGACAAGAGCCCTTGGATCATGAGGGTAGCAACAGAGATAGAACAGGTTTAAAGGGGTAGAATGGGAGGGAAAATAAATCACTGAGAGGAAAAAAAAAAATTAAGCGAATATCGATTTGCGTTCACAGAAGGTGAAATGGTACAAGGGGATTGAAAAACTGGGCCATCTGAAAAAAGAACCCCCAAAATGCAGCTTCTGTTGTGCTAATGTTCTAGAATAGTGCTGTCCAACAGAAATGTAATGCAAGCCATGTGTGAAAGCCTAAATTTTTTAGTAGTTGCATTAAACATAGTAAAAAGAAACTGATGAAAAATAAACTTTATTCTATTTTATTTAATCCAATATATCCAAAATATTATCTTTTCAATACAAAACCATTATAAAAATTGAGATATTTTAGTCTTTTTTTTTGTAGAAAGGCTTCAAAATCCTGTGTGAATTCACATAGCACATCTCTGTTTGGACAGCTGCCCTTCTATTGCTCAGCAGCCACGTGGGGCTCGTGGCTACCTTACTGGATGCGCAGCCTAGGGCCTTGTGACTCAAAGTGTGGTCCATGGGGCAGTAGCAACAGCACCAGTTGGGGGCTTGTGAGGCATGAAGACCCTCAGGCCCCACCCGAGACCTACTAAATCGGAGCCTGCATTTTAACAAGAGCCTCAGGTGACTCCTAGGCATGTGAAAGTTTGCGAGGCATCGTACTAGAACATAGGAAGTAGCAGGTTCCTCTGGCTGTTAGGACAGACACTTTTAGAAGGTGTCATTTCTTATGTTTATAACATTTAAGACGTTGAGACCCAAATTCAGGAGTACTGATTACCTGCTAGGAGCGCTGATGATGCAGAGCTTAAGCGCTTGGCTGCTATCCAAAAGGTTGGTGGTTCAAACCCACCAGCTGCTCCTCAGGAGAAAGGTGTGGCAGTCTGCTTCCGTAAAGACCGACAGCCTTGGA